CAGAAGGATGGTTTCTGACTTCATATCCATTCTGTTAACCTGTGTCTCTTTATGGGTGACATAAGACCATTAATATTGAGGAAAACTAAGGACCAATGGATGTTAGTTCTTTTTTGTTTTGGATTCATTGGTGATGGTCATATTGTGAACAGATTTGCCCTGGCTTCTGGTAAGGTGAGATAATCTATTGCCAATGTTTTTGTGAATGTAGTTAACTTCCTTGGGTTGGAGTTTTCCTTCCTGAACTTTCTGTAGGGTTGCGTTTGTGAATATGTATTGTGTAAAGTTGGTTTTGTCATGGAATATCTTTTTTTTTTTTTTCCTACATCTATAGTGATTGAGAGTTTTGCTGGGTATAGTAGTCTGGGTTGGCCTCCCTAGTATTTTAGTGTAAGGAGTAAGTTTTTCAGCCCGTCTCTGGTCTTGTCCCACAACCGCGCCAGCCCCAATTAACACACTGAGACTCTGTATTTGATATAATGCTGTTGGCCAGGTACTAGTTTCTTATTGCCTAGCTCTGTCTTAATTATTAACCCATTTATATGTATTTCCACGTGGTCTTTTCTTACCAGGAAGAGGCAGCTGGCAGTTCTGCTCTCCCCAGACTCTCCATCTTGCTTCTCCTTCCTACTTCCTCTTTCCTCCTTGTCTCCTAGTCCCTCCTATCTTTCTTTCCTATTGGCCAACAATGCTTTACTCATTAACCAGTATGAGAAACATATATACAGAATGACATCTCCCATCATCTTTTCTTTTCTGTCTAAATATAAAGAAGGGTTATAACCTTAACATTGTAAAATATATCACACAACAGTTATCAAATAAGAATCACAGTTAACATTATTTAGTCCATTAACATTTATAAAGATTAAAAGAAACTATTCTATCATCTATCCTATATTTGTGAGTCTAAAGTCCTATATGTAACTTATCTTTAAGTTTAACTAACAAAAACTATAACCATAACTATTTGTCTTCAACTCCTTCAAAGACCACAGAAGTATAGTATATAAACTCTAGAAACGACAAAGATATCATGCCTTGTCAGTCACCTGAAGTTATTTTGTAATTTTCATTTTTAGCTCATAGGCCATATTGTGTCTAGCATACTCTTCAGCAAAGTAGGAAACTTTAAACTGTCTTCTTGTATTGACAGTTTGTCAGTCATTTTTCTCTGTGTCCTGCAGACTGTCTGGCAGACTCTTCCATGAAGCAGGAACTCTGTAGCAATGTCCATCTTATATCAGCAGTCACTTTTCTGTGGGTCCTGCAAGTCCAGTTTATACAGCATAAAGTCAAACAATCCAAACAAGAACAGTATCTTATCCAAATGACTAGTCATGCCATATAACAAGTTTCTTCAATGTTCATCTTCCTTTCTGACACAGGTGGTGTTGCCAGGAGCAATTGTGCCTCATTGTCAAGAAAAAGCCTAAACCATTTTAAATGTCATATTCTGTAGGTCTTTGAAAGGTTTGAAGAATTCCTATTTATCTCAAATACATGTCTGTATATCTAGAAATCTTAACTATCATAGGTACTATCTATAATCTGTATTGAATTATACATTACATTTCTAAATAATACCTAAACAAGGGGAGAAATATACATATCAAAAAATTGACCTTAAATTGTATCAATAAATGAAAATCCATTCCAAAACAAAGTAATCATATCTGTATCATAATACCCTTTTTACCTTTAAAAAATATATTGGTTGTGATTATTAACCATTTATAACCAACCCCTTTTAAATGAAAACAAATATTTATAGACATTATTTGGGAATTTGGGTATCATTTTTTCCAAACTACTTCCTGCTGGTAAAGGGCGCTGTCATGGGGGATCTAGGAAGATGCCAAAATCCTGGCTGTAGTCTGCAAGGCTGGCTTGTCCCAATTATTTTGAATGTTGGAACACCTGGGACGTTGTTTCACGGGGTCTGGCTTGATCAAACCACATTAGTCTGGAAGGAATCCATAGCTTTTCATTTTCTTTGGAAACAAACATAGAAATTCTTTTCCCCAGTAACTTGTCCTATGACTTAAATTTTTAAGTCAACGCATTTTTAAAATATATAAATTGATTAATCCAGCAGTATTTTTTAACAGTTGTTTTCTCAGCAGTCAAATGATATAAAGACAATAAAATGCCATACAGTATACAGATTTTCTCTTAGATTTTCATTTTTATGTGACTTTATTATTACTCTTTTTTATTATTTTTTTTTTAATTTTTTGAGATAGGGTTTCACTGTTTAACTCTTATCCATCCTGGAATTTACTCTGCATACCAGGTTTACTTTGAAATCAGAAGCAATCTGCTTGCCTCTGTCTCTCAAGTGCTGGGATTAAAGACATGTTCCTTTTTTTTTTTTTTTTTTTCAATGTGTACATTAATTTAAAACACACTGTAAACCTTTAGTGCTTTGCTTTTTTTTTTTTTTTTAAATGTGAATCTATCTTTATTGTAAATCATTACCTTTTTTTGGCCACGAGTCTTTTATCTGGTAAACAACAACATTGTTAAAATGAAAGTCATACTTGTTTTTATCGCAGTATGTTAAAGATGGCGGCGGATATTTTACCACCAGCACTGAGAGCTGTGTTTGCTGCCTAGGTCTATGCTGCGATGCAGCAGCATGTTGCTGGCTTGGAGATGTGGTCATTGCCATTGTCAGTTCTCCTACACACCAATGAATTTTAGTAGAGTTTTTTGTTTTGTTTTGTTTTGTTTAAAGCCTTGTAGCTTTTTGCAGCTTATGCTGTGTCAGGAAACTTTTTATGGAGCCCCAAAAATCTGTTTATCTTTAGCAAAACAACCCAATCGAGAAAAATGCTGCTACCAAGAAGCCTTGCTTGTCTCTGTTCTTTTGTTTGTAAAACCCTTTTGTAAGCTTTTGTTAAACTTTAAGTGGAAGTTATTATTAGCCAAGCCATGTGGGTGCCATATGTAAGGAGTAGGTTTTTCCTCCTGCTGCTGGTCTTGTCTCACCACCGAGCCAGCCCCAATTAACACACCAAGAGTCTGTATTTGATATAATGCTGTTGGCCAGGTCTGCTGATAGGTCTGCTTTTATCTTAATTGGTCCTTTTCCTTTGCTGCTCTTAATATTCTTTCTTTATTCTGAATGCTTGGTGACTTTTTTTTTTTTTTTTTGGTCCAATCTATTTGTTGTTCTGTACTCTTCCTTTACTTTCATAGGCATGTCCTTCTTCAAGTTAGGAACATTTTCTGTTGTTTTTTTTTTTTTTTTTTTCTATGATTTTGTAGCACCTTTGAGCTGGGCTTTTTGCCTTCTTCTATGCCTATATTCTTAAGTTTGGTCTTTAACGGTGTCCCACATTTCCTGGAAATTTTGTGTTAAGGATTAGTTGTATTTAAGATTTCCTTTGGTTGATAAAACAGTTTCCTCTAGTGTTTCTTCATCTTCTGAGACTCTCTATTCCATCTCTTTTATTCTGGTGATTATGCTTGCATTCATAGTTCCCCTTCACTTACCCAGCTTTTCTACTTCCAATATTTCCTCAGTTTGTGTTTTCTTTATTATATATATATTTCAGTTTTCAGGTCTTGAAGTATCTAAATTATTTCCTTCATCTGTTTGATTGCTTTTTCTTGGGTTTCCTTACTTACTTTAAGAGATTTGTTGATTTCTTGCATATTTATTTATTTATTTGTTTATTTATTTATTTGGTCCATATTTTCCTCTTCTAATTTTTTGATTTTTTCATCTGTATTTCCTTAAGTTATTTTCTTTTTTCCTCTTTGAGGGCCTCTATTATGTTTTATGAATTTGTTTTTAGGTCATTCTCTTCTGCTTCATCAGATTTGGTATGTTCAGGTCTTGTTGGTGATGAGTCCACAGATTCTGGTGGTGTCATATTTATCTTTCTATTGTTGAATGTATTCTTATACTGCTGTCTTGCCATCCCTTTTTTCCAGTGGGTACAGGTGGAGGTCTCTCTCTCTCTACTGTCTTCTCCAAGAAGGTGTAGGTGGGTCAGGACTTTAATGTCAGTAACTCAGGAAAGTCCAAGCAGAGGACTTAGAGGGCCAAGGGTCAGGTAAGGGCAGTCTCCAGTTCTATGTGGAGGGTCCACTTGCCCAGAGCCAACCCAGAAGGTTCCAAGGAGAGGGTGAGGGTTTTATACACAAGCTGGCCAGACACTCACCTCAAGCAAAAGGCACAGCAGGACTCTGAATTAAGTTTTCTTGGATATGTAATTATTGCTCAGATTCAGTCAGATCAACAATTCATATCCATTTGTTAAGTAGTAGAATAATATTGGACAACAGTATTAATGCACATTACTATTGTTCTTTCTTTAAAACAAACAAAAAATAGTTAATAAAATGTTTCTTCCTGCTAACAAATATTTCTCTATGAGTTAAGAAAAGCAAAGTACAAGCTATTACTGGAAAGCTGTTTACAACGGAATTTGTTAATGTGTTGTATTTTTCTAGAATATTTACACAATGAAATTCTGTGTCAATATTAAAATGCACAGTGACAATCCGGACACATACACATGCATAAACAGACATAGACCATTTAATGACCTAGATTTGGTTAAATTTTGATAAAATACTGAGTATTTGCTTTAGTTAAACATAGGTTGAAAAGTGATATCTAAGCTAAAAGTCTATTCCAAGAGAATTTGTGCTATGATTTAGAAAAATAACTTGATCCGTGTTTACAAATTAATAAAAAACATCCTCTAAAATTCAGATGTGACTGGAAGGTGGACTTATAAGTGTACAAATATGTATATTATATGTGTGTATCTTACATACATACACATGTATATTCTGCTCTATCCAAGCTTAGTTTTGTTAAAGTCGGAATAATGTTTGCTCATCCCTACTCTCCTGTAGAAATATTGCCTTACATAATAATGAGAATTCAATAATTGCTTAGTTGTTGGTAAAATTTTATGTATAATAATGATGACTGGATATATGATATTTGAATAAAGAAATTTCTCTTATTTTAATAGCCTAAAAGTAACATATGGACCGTATGATAATTATATTCCAGGTAAGATGGAATTCAGTATTTATTTTTTCAATGAATATTTTTATTTTTTCCTTTTTGTTGAAAATAGATTATTTTCTATATTCCTGATTGCAGTTTTTCTTTCCTCTACTCCTCCTAGTTATTCCCCACTTCCTCCCTTATCAGGATCTACTTTCTTTCTGTCTCTCATTAGAAAATAACAGGCTTCTGAGAGATAAATATAATATTAACAAAATAAAATCTAGTGATCCAAGTTGGATAAGGCTAATCAACAAAAGGAAGAGCCCCAAGAGTCAGAGCCAACTTCTTTGTACTTTCAGGACTTTCATAAAAATTATAAATCTAAAGTCATATATATATACATAGCCAAGACCTGTGCAGGTCCTGTGATTGTTGCTTCAGTCTCTGTGAGTTCACATGAGATTTGTAAAGTTGATTTAGATGGACTTGATCTCTTGGTGTCCTCGTCCCTTCTGACTCTTACATTTTTCCCACCTCCTCTTCCATGAGTTTCCTGAGCCCTGGGGGCTAGAATTTGATGCAAACAACCCATTTTATAGGTGTGTGCTCTAAGATCTTCTCCTCTCTGCAACATGTCTGCCTATGGATCTTTCCATTTTTTCTCTTTGGCTATAGGAGGAAGCTTCTCTGATAATAGCTGAAGACAGCATTATCTATCAGTACAGCAGAAGATCATTAGGAGTCATCGTATCACATTTTTTCTTTCTTTTCTCTCTCTCTCTCTCTCTCTCTCTCTCTCTTTTTAAGAGAAGTAGGATTTGGTTTTACCCTAGGTATTTGGGCTATCTAGCCTCTGGTACTTGGTCAAGCAATGTTGGGTGCGGGCTCCATCTCAAGGAGTGTTCCTTAAGTCAATTTGGACATTAATTGGTTACTCCTACAAATTTTGCCTCATTAATTTTAGACAATTTTTCATTGTTTTCAGTTTAAAGTCATAAAGCTGCTGTGAGCTATAATTAATATACCATGTTTTTTTTTTTTTTTTTTTTTTTTTTTTTTGCAAAAGAACCTTTCTCCAGGGCACCCTAAAAGCCCTTCATATAGGTTTTAATCTTCTGGAATACTTGCATTTTAGGAAAAGGTATAACTCAGGGGACATGAATTTGAAAAGCAATGAATAAACTGAATAAAGCCTTTTAACCCAGACTCTTTCACTGTTTTCCTCTTTGTTTACATTTAGCTTGATTCAATACCAGAGAAGGAAATCTATTTATTATTCAGTAGCTTTTACTACCAGCTTGTTTTCTTTCATCAGTGAAACTTCAATATGACTTATATTCTGCATATTTGAACACCAATCGTAATGCTGTCCTTTGGAAAGTAGCAAGTCTTCTTTGTAATATTTTCAATATTTCATATGTACTAATAAAGTGATGGTATTTCTCATTGACCTCAATTTTGATTGAAAAATGCTTCATGGCTTCTGCTGTTCTTTCTACACTGTCTAAGTCCACTTTGCATTTACTTATCATTTTTTCTTTGCTAAACCAATCTTTAATAACAGCATATCTCTTGAGTATATTACAAGTCATCTTATAGCTGAGACACTAGATATTAACTGATAGGATTTTTAGTCTCAGTATGTAAATTCAAGCTCATATTTTCTGCATATCTGTCATGTTAAGCAGCGTGCTAAATGCTTTAGTGGCTATGGAAGTATTTATCACATCTTTCTGTTCTGAGAGGTTATATGCAAGTGAAAAAAACACTTGACAAGAATCTAAACTGGAAGAGAGAGCAATATTGAAATGAGATCAGTGATATTCCTTTTACTCCTTCATAGACACATTAATTTTATTATAACTACTTTCTATAGGTATCAATCAAATTAGTTATTTATTTATAAAATTGGTCAGTGTAATAAATTTCAGTTTCTCATTTTTATCACTGAAAATTTTAAATTATTGAATAAATGAAGTTGTAGCTTGCCACATTTATTTATTTGTATGGTATAAATCACACTCATGGCTATTTCAGTTCAAACAAAGTCTATTCATAGCAAAGCATATGTTATCTTTCTTATTTTAGTCAGTGAATTAAGCAAAAAATCATGGAATCAGCAGTACTTTGCCTTGGCATTTCCCAAACCACCAAGGCCAGGAAAGAAACGGAGATCACTACCTTCCCAATTACGCAACAATACAGCTCCTGTGAGTATATTAAAATATCATGTATATATTAGTAAGTAATTACTTAATTTAACAATAACCTTGTAAAGTCATACATTGTTAAATGTGCAGTGTGCTTGAGGGATAACTTGAGACCTGTCATGGTAGATATATTTTATATAATTGTTACCTCAATTTTAATATTGATCATAGCTTATTTTAAGATAACATTTCCTTCAGTACTCCTACCTAAAAGATGTTGTTTACATAGCAAAGAAATGTTAAGATACACTAATTCACAATTAGTATGAACAGTAAGAAAATGTCCACCAGATGTAAATTCTGATAATAGGGTCATTACTAACCTCTCTTAATAATGAAGAGAAGTTCTAATGTGTTATACTCCAATGGAGGTCTCTACCAATTTTCATGTTAAAATCTTGAAGAAAAATCATAGTCCCTCTAAATTGAACATAAACCACAAGTAGGGACACAATTGTCCATTACTTTAAATCATAATGAAATTTAAATTGGAGTAGACTTTTAAATCCACATTTAATCCACTGATTTTTCAAAACACCTTTGAAGATATTCAAAAATATTTCTAGGTGAAATTAAAATATTTATGCAGCATCTTATTATTAAAGGCTATAACATTTTTTCTTGTTATCCTTGCCAATATTGAGGTAATTGATGAACAAAAATTAGGAGTTCACAGACCACCATTATGGATGCACCGTTCCCTGATGAGAATTCCTGAGAGACCATCCGTTTATTTAGCTGCCAGGAAGGGCCTTCCTCCAAAACCACGTCGTTCTGCCAAGGGAGAATCTAAAGATGCAGGCCCACACAAGACTTCGTCTTCAGAAAAGGCAAAGAAAGAAGAGAAAGTGAAAAAGGGTGAATCTGAAGCGAAAGAGAAGACTGCGTCGAAGAGAGTCAAGGAAGAAAGTCCCAAACCAGTGGCCAAGAAAAGTTCAAAGGATTCCCAGAAAGACAAAGGGTCAGCCTCAGAATCTGAAGGTGAAAAGGCTGGCGGAAAGAAAGAAGCCAAAAAAGGTAAAAAGGAACCAAAATCCAAGGGGTCAACTTCAGAATCTGAAACAGAAAAGGCTGGTGAGAAGAAAGAATCCAAAAAAGCTAAAACAGAGCCAAAGGATAAAGGGTCAGCCTCAGAATCCGAAGCTGAAAAGGCTGGCGTGAAGAAAGAATCCAAAAAACCTAAAAAGGAATCAAAGGATAAAGTGTCAGCCTCGGAATCTGAAGCTGAAAAGGCTGGCGTGAAGAAAGAATCCAAAAAACCTAAAAAGGAATCAAAGGATAAAGTGTCAGCCTCGGAATCTGAAGCTGATAAGGCTGGTGAGAAGAAAGAATCCAAAAAACCTAAAAAAGCGCCAAAGGATAAAGGGTCAGTCTCGGAATCTGAATCTGAAAAGGCTAGTGTGAAGAAAGAAACCAAAAAGGCAAAAAAGGAATCAAAGGATAAAGGGTCAGCCTCGGAATCTGAAGGTGAAAAGGCTGGAGTGAAGAAAGAAACCAAGAAAGCTAAAAAAGCGCCAAAGGACAAGGATAAAGGTCCAGCCTCAGAATCTGAAAGTGAAAAGGCTGGAGTGAAGAAAGAAACCAAGAAAGCTAAAAAAGCGCCAAAGGACAAGGATAAAGGTCCAGCCTCAGAATCTGAAGGGGAAAAGACTGGTGGGAAGAAAGAAACCAAGAAAAGTAAAAAGGAATCAAAAGATACACTTGCAGATTCAGATGCTAGCAAGGCTGGTGATAAGAAAGGAAGCAAAATTGTTAAAAGGAGCTCCAAGACCAAGGAAATACCCGCAGATTCTGAAAGTGAGAAGGGAGAGTTAAAGAAAGCAGGCAAGAAAGAAGGCAAGAAGAAAGAAAATAAAAAGGAGAAGAAGACAGATGGAGACTCAAAGGAGGATGGCAAGAAAGACAAGAAAGAGAAGAAGAAAGACAAGAAAGACAAGAAAGACTCTGCAGGTGATTCCTGGGAATCAAAAAAGGATGAAAAGAAGACAAAGAAAGAGAAGAAGGCAAAGTAGGTCTTGGATCAGAACTCAAACTGAAGGAAGAGCCCCAAAGTATATTCAGTGAACCCACTTAAGTAGTATTAAAATGAACCTATGAGATACCAAAAAAAAAAAAAAAAAAGTGTGTAGCAAAGTAATCAAAAGTAATCAAATGATTTTTAAAGAGAAGGAAAAACACAGGGTGAAAGGAAAACATAGTCATGGTATTTTGAAAAAGCACTAAGAAAAACACAAAAACACATAGGATTCATTGAATGATGTGGAAGATGCCTATTCTAAAATGGTAGGTATGGAGGTTTCAAAAGTAAAATCCCTAGAAAGATTCAAAGAATATACAAGTAAGAATCCAAGAAATTAAGATAAGGTAACATACAGAAATATCAATATTCAGTAAGGACTTTGTTAAAAAGAAAAGGAAATTCCAAGAAGTCTTGATGCTGTCTCTAGAATTAATGATGGGAAGCTTAGTTTGTACAATGGCCAAGAAAATCAAAACAATGCTTAGAAATTAGAATTTGAATTGAATAAATATCTAGGATGATTTAAGGAAGAAAACAGAGAAAGGACGGAGGAAATGAGAGAGTAAGGAAAGCATGAACAGAAAAATGTAAGGAAAGATAAGAGTAAAAGACCATCACTGTACAAAGAAGAGAAAGAAAACCTTGAGTTTACAGGACCATCTGAGTTTGAAGTGAACACAAGATTGAGCCACTTGTAATCCCTGATGACATTCTTGGTAAGTTACGTTTGTCTTATTTTAAACCATATTGAATTTAAAATAACTTAACCACCTGCTAGATTAAAGTTGATTTGTAATGCTCCTGTACTCAACACTCTTACTCCTGTTTTAAATTTCTATTTTATGGTATTTAAATCTTCTAATTATAAGAAATACATGGATATCATCAAACCAATGGATTATTTTAATATGATCCTAAAAGAGTTAAGAGAAATGAAAATAATGTTTGTGAAACAGAGAGACTGTGAACTTTTTGGTTTTTCTAGAGAAGCTATTAAACAAGATTACAAGGGTTTGCTTCTGCTTCCCTAATAATTCCCGTGGCTTATTTTGTCTAGTTTTATACAAATATCATGCCATTTTAATTACTATATATTTATAATAATGTCTAAATTTATGTGCTAAAATACACACCACTGTGATCCTTTTGCTAAAGATTTCATTATTTTGTGTTCATATTTTGAGAGAAATTCTCCTGCTCCACAGGTTGTCTTCATACCCATGATCTTAATGACTAACCCCCAAGTGCTTGAATTACATTCAATAACTGCCATGTCTGATACTTTTCATCATTTTGAAATTGTTCAGCATATCTGAAAATGTCATTTCTGAGTTTATATGCTGTTTTTGTTAAATTAGTATATCATGGAGTAGAGAGATGGTCCTGAGTTTTGTTCATTGTACAGATGTGAAGTTAGGTGGGTTATTTACCTGATTAGTTACAAAACATAGCATTCACTATTTTACCTTATAATAAGTTAAATTATAATTTGCTAATTTCTGATTAGAACAAAGCTTAATCCTTAGGATATGTATGTAACCATTCATTTGTATATATGTGTTCATGTGAAATCAAATATACTGGTTCTTACCTTGGAATTTTTATAGCTGTTGTAGATATTTGTGAAAAAAAATCATCATTCACACATACTTTGTGTCAGGACACATAATTTGAAATATATATTCAAATAATATACATTTACATAATATATTCATGTGCATTATATTTATTAGTCTATATCTTATGCTTCTATATCCACTGACTTCCCAATATCATGATTGTGTGGCATTTACATTAACTTTTTAGAGTAGAATATAATTAAAATAAAATGCTTCTCTTTTAAATGTTTTGAACATACAATCTTAAAACTAATTTATTTTCATAAGTAAAACTCATATCACATTAACATTTGTCAAAATTAATATGATCGGGAAGCATTAGAAAATAGGATGCTTAGAAGAGGGGAACCCACGTTTTCGACTATAGGGACAATCAGTTGTAGTTTAGAAAGGAAATTGTTTTAAATGCTTGACTTGTGTGTTTGGTTGTAGCCTAGCCTTTAATGGCTGAGCACTCTCTTTTCTGTAGGAAGACAGGAGTGGATCTGTAGGAGAGGAGAGGGGAGTGCTGGAGTGGAACTGGAAGGAGTGTAGGAAGGGTAAACTATTGTCAGGAGAAAATTCTTGAGAGAAGAATAAATTAAAAAAAAAAAAGCTTGACTTTTCTTCTATTAACATGGAGTCTGAGCTCATTCCTAGCTGTAAACATTAATCATGTCCCAATAATACTCTATTGTTCAAAGAATGTGAAAAGAAAAGAAGATGCTAAGTGAAAGCAATATTACCAGCTCTGCAAGCAAGAAGCAACAAACAACAGAATTTTATAAAGTTCATTTTAGAAGTACAACAGAACCCTGGTAAGAGAGATATTGTACAGGCTTATTCAAAATCTATGGTATGTGCTCAATTTAAACTTTGAATTCTGATACTTATGTAAAAATTCTAAATTAGCTTACTATTGATGTATGCCATGATATTTGTTCAATAATATGCAAATATCAATAAAATACCCTTTCAGTCTTTGTAAAATATGTATTGATTATGGAACAAGTTTAAAATTTTTATAAGGGGCTATCAGTTCTGTTGTGTTGAATTGAAACTGTGCCTTAATATTAATTCTATGGAAAGTAATTTAGAATGGTGAACTTCTTACATGGAAATCTGATTAGAGTTTTACATTATGCTTCTAATTAATTCGTAAGACTATTGAGAATGAGAAACAGTAACAGCTCTTCCCCATAAATATCTGTCTGCAATACTAGTAGAACTAGAAATAGCAGAGATATTCAATATCTAAATTTTTATACCTAGCTCTCAGAATTTATCTCCCATTTATGAGAGAAAACCAAGTTGTCTAATTTTAGGCATTTTGAATAGTTAATATAATTACATTTCATAAAAGAGAATAAATGCATGAACTATCTATTTCATGCACATACTCATTAAAGTTTATTTATATATTTCACTAGGAAATATACAAAGAAAGAAAATGACTTACTCTATATAATTATTCTATATTTTCATAACTCTATTGCTCATTTTATGCTATGTACTAATTATTAAATTACAAAAAGATTATAGCTAATAGTAAAATATTCCATATGTATATGTTGTTATGAGAAAATTCCCATCAGCCTGGTCTCAGAGTTGCATCAGCCCCATATAACACACAGAGATGCTGTATTATATATAACGCTGTTGGTCTGTTACTAGTGTTACTTATTGGCTAGCACTGTCTTAAATATTAACCGATTTCTATTAATCTAAGTGTTTCCACGTGGTTTTATTTTATCAGAGAGAGGGTCCAGACCTCTTAAGTTCCTACTCCCAGAATCCTCCTTGTGTCCTAGTCCTGCCTATTGCCTTCCTACTTGCCAAAAATGATTTATTCATTAGCCAATAAGGGAAACATATTTACAGAATGGCATCTCTCATCAGATCTAAATATGTATCAAGAAGGCTATATCATTCCCTATCAAAAATTATAAAAAGTCACAATTAAAGTAGGAAAATAGTCAAACTAAAATATTTGACCCTAATCCTGACACCTTTACAGACTTTTGGGACCATATTCCTCATATTAGGTTGCCTTGCCCTTACTATGAGGGGTTAGGGTAGCTAATCTTACTGCAACTTGAAATGGCATGTTAAGATGATATCCATGGGAGGCCTACCCTTTTCTGAAAAGAAATGGTGGATGAGTGGGTGGGGGGACAGAAGAGAAGTAAGGAGAGTAACTTGGAGGAAAGAAGTAAGGAGAAACTGTGGTTGGAATATTTAAAAAGTAATAATTGATAGTTATTTCTTAAAACTAAGAGGAGTCTAATTAATATTTTAATATATTTAGTATATAAAATATACTTAAAATGTATGCTATTAATACTTAATTTTGTTTCCATGTAAAATTAAATAGTAATAACTAAAAAATAGAACCAATGAAACACCACAGAAAATGTAATCTGCAATACTTAAAATGTCAATTCTATGAACACAAGAAGGAATTATATCTATCACTGCCCATGATGATCATTGAAAATGGTAGAGCGAAGAGGACTACACATATTATATATGACTAACTACCCCAAAAATGTTCTTTGCCTGCACACTGATGCTTAGTCCTTTAGAGCAGTGACATCACAGATTTCATATTTGGTGAACTTTAAATGATAGTGCATTGTCAAGTATTATACTGAACTTTAGCTTAACTTAAAACAGAACATTAAAATCATTACAATTTAAAATTGAGTTTGGGGGAGTCCAAAAACTGTCTCACTCAAGAAGAAAACAGAGAAATATTTTCCGTTCATAATTTTACTTTCAAATATATTTTAATGGCATGATATTCTTTATAAATAACTGATTTTCTTCCATTTTTGTAAGCTTCTCAGGTGAAGATTATGCACTTGAGAATATTAAAAAGAACTTTTGAACATTAGGGTATTATATCACAATAAAAGTACAAATAAATATCTTCAATAAAAACCAATATTTAAAATTCAGGAATATGTACAAGTGTTAATAGTTTAAGGATAATTAATGATAGAAATTTAATCATACTTTTGCCATATGAAATTTTATAATGCTAATATAAAGTAAAATATCTTAGATTGTTAAAAGATTATTAAAGTAGAACTTTGGGCAATCTCTCCGAATGTTAGTTTATGGTATTTAACAGTTAGTAGAGCTGGGCATTAGTGGTACACGCCTTTGATCCCAGCGTTCAGGAGGCAGAGGCAGGCAGGTCTCTGTATGTTCAAGGCCACCCTGATTTACAAAGCTAGTTCCAAGACAGAATCCAAAGCCATACAGAGTAATCCTGTTTTGGGAAAAAAAAAGTTCCTAGAATAGGGAAATTTAGTTTTACTTAAGGGTACAGTCCATTGTAGGAGAACGTTGTTCAGCAAAGGGCAAAATACATAAGGGCATAATGACAGCAGAGTTTTAACTGATAGGTTTAAAAACTAT